CGTCTCTGCGCTCGTATTTGTACTCGCTCGTACTAGAAATTGATATCAGTCGAAAATGGAATGATATTACGAGAACGAAGAACGAGTTACAATAATGGGTACCCATTTTGAATGATGATTGATTGATGAGGGTTAAGCTTTTTGTGTGTAATAATAACAATATGATTAAGATGAAAGGGGTGAAGCCTTTTTTGGTGTAATTACCAATGCTTTTGAAACATTCTCTTTGGAAATGTGAGCCAAAGTCAGTGGTGTGGTATCCTTGATTCAATCCAAGGCGTGCTCTTGGGAATCACCCCAAGTTTATTGCTATGCACATGCTTTTGTGCTTCGTTTTTGGCTTGATATTACATCTCTCTCTCTCTCTCTTATGTTCTCCACCTTTGTTTAATCCAAAGCCCTTCATCACCACATATCCTATCATTCTACTATGATTGCATGACTTGTTTGAACTTACCGGAATTCGAGAAGTTCTTACGGGATATTGGACCGACCCATTTAGCTAAATTCAGTATTGAGCTCATAAACGTTAGCTATGTCATCTGTGAGATCCCACATCGGTTGGAGAGGGGAACGAAATATTCCTTATAAGGGTGTGAAAACCTCTCCCTAGTGGACGTGTTTTAAAATATTGAGGGGGAAGCCAGCCAGGAAGGGAAAGCCCAGAGAGGACAGTATCTACTAATGGTGGGGTTGGACTGTTACATAATGTCTCGTGATAAGAGAATGAGAGACTAGTATAATAAGGATCCGAGATTGTAATGTCCTCTCGTGCTTGTTCTCTCTTTTTTTCGAGTTATTACGTTCAAATCGTTGTTACACCACTTGCTTATGCAAATCTGGGAGCTGGGTCGTTCCCTGTTGAATACGAATAAGCTCTTCTTTTCATTCCTCTTGTTCAAATGCTCTCCCTTGGCTTCGATGCCAACTAGAGCTATTGTTTACTTTAGTATACGTTTCTTAGACCCAATTACTGTATTTCTTGTCTCATCGTTCAAATCGCTATCACACCACTTGCCAATGCAGATTTGGGCAGCTGGGCCGTCCCTTGTTGAATACGAATAAGCTCTTCTTTTCATTCCTCTTGTTCAAATACTTTTCCTTGGTTTCGGTGCCAACTAGTCGATATTTTCTTAAACAAAGTAACCCTAATCTTTCTCTCAAATAGTCATCTATTCATCCACGTTTGGTCGGTTCGTGCGCTGAGGTATTAGAGGGTTGAATTCGTCGGGTTGGGCATTTAAGCCTTTGAATTTGTTTGTGTTATAAATGGAGAAGGTGAGATAATGTAGGTCACATCCCAAAATAACAAACTTTAGGGGAAGGAAGAAAAAGATATTCTTTTTTATTTAAATAATAATAATAATTTTGGGAAATTCAATTGGACTCTTATTTTGTAGGCTTTCCGACAGTTGACTTTGTCCAACCAATGGAGACATCACATTGGGTGATGCTGAAGAAAAAGTCATAACAATGAATGGTCAAAGGACACGTGTTTGTCTCTCATTGGTCTGTCTTGCGGTGGCCTATGCGGGGTAGTTCGGCCATATCTTATCTTTGTTTTGTTCTTCCGGAAAAGGAGATTTGGGGGTCATCCTCTTAACCCTATAGCTGTATTGATGTATATATACCAAATCTTTACTCATTCTCTCAATTTATTTATTTTTTTCAAATCTAAGATATTATTTATTAAATAATAATTATTTTTTTTTTCGATGTGTCGGTTAAGAAACGATAGTTCATAATTATACCAACAAAGTGCATCAACTTGTTAAAAAAAAGAAAATACAGGTTGAAAAAATTTCCGTTTGTTCGTAGGGACGATATTCACTTTTGCAAACTGAGACGAGTAAAGTTAATTGACAAGGTTGTAGGTTGTGTCGAATCCATATTTTGGATTCTAGTCTAGATCACGGACCTGAGACATGTTACTTATACGATCAAGTTATTTAGATTTGTTAGTATTTAAAAGTTGAGTTTTGGTATCCGAAACTTTACTTCGGTACCTGATTTTTTAGGTTGATATATGCACCCGCTATCTAGTACAGTATCTGTAAATGGCTTAGCATTTATGTGGGAGGATTCATGTTTCGATAGAACTTTGATGTATGGATGTTCGGGATGTATCGACGATATAGTTGACTCATGTATTGGTTTTTGGTAGACATGTTTGAGCAAGCTATGATGGTCAATGACATTTCGTGACTTAGAATGACATTACAATATGTGGGTTATGTTGTTGGGAACCTAAATGATGAGACAAGACGTGATGGGACATTGTATATGAGATTCCTTGACCTATAGTAAAGACAAGGTTGAGCTGGATGACTTAGCGTAGTGTAAAAGCAAGTCGACTAGAGTCACAGACAATTGAAAATGCACGCATAGGTGATGTTTGTGACTGAATAAGTTAAGATTCCACATGAGTTCTGTTCGGTTAGGGAAAGAAAACCTCGCCTAATGTCCGACGAAGCCACAAAGCCGACAAAAAATTGAAATGAAGTTCGAGTTTTCCTTGAGGCTTGTCATGCATTTGTCAAGATCATGACACCGCACGGTTGCAAAAGTACGACCGTGACACTTAGTTTGTAATAATTTTAAATTGGGTGACCCCCTAGGGATTCTCTTAGGAAGCACGTGAGTGAAGATAAAACATGCTAAAAGAACTCATGGTTTGGTGACAAGTAAGTAATGTGGTCATGTTTCAGGGACTGAGATCATTAAGTGCTGAATCCGGGCTCTAAATCCTGATATGAATCCCGAACATGAAACATTACAGATTGTCTCAAGTCTATTGGACGAACCAATGAATTTCAATACTTTCAATGCAGTACTTCGTACCGTTTTCTTAAACTCAAACTTCTTAAACTTGCACCTTAGCACGAGTCTACTAAACCCTCCACTCGAACCCCAAACTTAAAAGGCCGAACCCATGTCTCTTACAGAGGATAGAGGACTCGATTGTTAGGTTCCGTTTGATAACTATATTGTTTTAAGTTTTTGGTTTGAAATTTAAGCTTATAAATGTTGCTTCTTCCTAAAATTCAAATCAAGTTTTGAAAACTAAAAGTAGTATCTAAAAACTTGTCTTTGTTTTCACGATTTGATCAAGTATTACAAGTATATCGTTAAGAAACGTGACGTGAGATCTCATATTGGTCGGAGAGGGGAACGAAATATTCCTTATAATGATGTGGAAACCTCTTTCTAGTAGACGCGTTTTAAAAACCTTGAGGGGAGACTTAAAAGAGAAAGCCCAAAGAGGACAATATCTGCTAACGGTGGGCATGAGCTCTTATAAATGGTATAAGGGCCAATCATCGGACGGTGTACTAGCGAGGATGCTGGGTCCCACATCGGTTGGAGAGGGGAACGAAGCATTCCTTATAAGGATGTGGAAAACCTCTCCTTTCAAAAACTTTTAGGGGAAGCCCGAAAGGGAAAGCCCAAAGAGGATAATATCTGCTAACGGTTGGCCTCGGCTGTACAAGTGGTATCAGAGCCAATCACTGGACAGCGTGCTAGCAAGGACGCTGGGTCCCACATCGGTTGCAGAGGGGAACGAAGCATTCCTTATAAGGGTGTGGAACCTCTCCGTAGTAGACACGTTTCAAAAACCTTGAGGGGAAGCCCGAAAGGGAAAGCTCAAAGAGGACAATATCTGCTAACGATTGGCTTGGGTTGTTACAAATGGTATTAGAGCAGGAAAGCCCAAAGAGGACAATATCTGCTAACGATTGGCTTGGGTTGTTACAAATGGTATTAGAGCAGGAAAGCCCAAAGAGGACAATATCTGCTAACGGTGGGCTTGAGCTCTTATAAATGGTATAAGGGCCAATCATCGGACGGTGTACTAGCGAGGATGCTGGGTCCCACATCGGTTGGAGAGGGGAACGAAGCATTCCTTGTAAGGATATGGAAACCTCTCCCTAGTAGCCGCGTTTTAAAAACCTTGAGGGGAATCCCAGAAGGGAAAGCCTAAAGAGGACAATATCTGCTAACGGTGGGCTTGAGCTCTTATAAATGGTATAAGGGCCAATCATCGGACGGTGTACTAGCGAGGATGCTGGGTCCCACATCGGTTGGAGAGGGGAACGAAGCATTCCTTGTAAGGATATGGAAACCTCTCCCTAGTAGCCGCGTTTTAAAAACCTTGAGGGGAATCCCAGAAGGGAAAGCCTAAAGAGGACAATATCTGCTAACGGTGGGCTTGAGCTCTTATAAATGGTATAAGGGCCAATCATCGGACGGTGTACTAGCGAGGATGCTGGGTCCCACATCGGTTGGAGAGGGGAACGAAGCATTCCTTATAAGGGTGTGGAACCTCTCCGTAGTAGACACGTTTCAAAAACCTTGAGGGGAAGCCCGAAAGGGAAAGCTCAAAGAGGACAATATCTGCTAACGATTGGCTTGGGTTGTTACAAATGGTATTAGAGCAGGAAAGCCCAAAGAGGACAATATCTGCTAACGGTGAGCTTGAACTGTTACAAATGGTATCAGAGCCAGTCACCAAGCAATGTGCCAACGAGGACGCTCGATCCCCGAGGGGGGTGGATGGTCTTATAAGGGTGTGGAACCTCTCCGTAGTAGACACGTTTCAAAAACCTTGAGGGGAAGCCCGAAAGGGAAAGCTCAAAGAGGACAATATCTGCTAACGATTGGCTTGGGTTGTTACAAATGGTATTAGAGCAGGAAAGCCCAAAGAGGACAATATCTGCTAACGGTATCAGAGCCAGTCACCAAGCAATGTGCCAACGAGGACGCTCGATCCCCGAGGGGGGTGGATGGTGAGATCTCACATCCCTTGGAGAAGGGAACAAAGAATACCTTATAAGGGTGTAGAAACCTCTCCCTAGTGGACGCTTTTTAAAATTTTGAAAGGTAAACCCAAAGAGAACAGTATCTGCTAGTGATGGGCTTCGGCTATTACACGTGCTTCACGTAAAAAAAAATGGGAGGAAACAAGTTCATACAAAAAAAACATAAAACTCGAAACAAAATCGCGAAAAAACGGAATCAAATGATTCATTGAGAACTTGACATCCAGTAAAATACATTACAATGAAGGATCGTGGCTGGATGATCTCTTAGATGCATATAAAAGTAGTTCAATGGCAGCCATTTAATATTAACAAATTTAGTTCCAAGCTAGAACAGCTGATAACTAGCTATGTTACCATGCAAGTTCTACTGCCTTTAGTAGGAATCTGATATCAATGAACCCAAAGAGACCCAATCAAGACTGTAACTGAGTTCATCATTGGTTACCTGAGAATTCTCCAAGACATCCAAACATTGTTTCAGTTCCATCACTACCTTTGTCATGGATGGCCTCCGAGTTGAAGATGAAGCTACACAGTTCATTGCCAAATCAATAAATTCCAAAATAGAGCTATTAATAAAGCTCCAGCCTAATTTTGGGTCTACTATCTTCTTGATTCCCTCTTCTTTAAGCCCTGAAATAACCCATTTGATGATATGGGTTTTGACCTCACTTTTTGTTATTGCTGCCTGACCTGTGATGATTTCGAGTAAAATCACTCCAAAGCTATAAACGTCGCTCTTCTCGCTTAACTTGTTTGTCGTCGTGTACCTGCAGGGAGATGTATGTTAGGTAAGTGAGAAGTATTCTATGATTCTTAAACAAAACAAAGAAACTCGTGAGTGGAGTAGTATTTTGTAACGGCTCAAGCCTACTGCTAGTAGATATTGTCCTGTTTGGTCTTTCCCTTTTGGGCTTCCCCTCAAGGTTTTTAAAACGCGTCTACTAGGGAGAAGTTTCCATATCCTTATAAGGAATGCTTCATTCCCCTCTCCAACCAATGTGAGATTTCACAATCCACCCCCCTTGGGGACCCAGCGTCCCCGCTGGCACACCGCCTGATGACTGGCTCTGATATCATCTATAACAACACAAGGCCACTGCTAGCAGATATTGTCCTCTTTAGGCTTTCCCTTCTGGGATTCCCCTCAAGGTTTTTAAAACGCGGCTACTAGGGAGAGGTTTCCATATCCTTACAAGGAATGCTTCGTTCCCCTCTCCAACCAATGTGAGATCTCACAATCCACCCCCCTTGGGGACCCAGCGTCCCCGCTGGCACAACGTCTGATGACTGGCTCTGATATCATCTGTAACAACACAAGGCCACTGCTAGCAGATATTGTCCTCTTTAGGCTTTCCCTTCTGGGATTTCCCTCAAGGTTTTTAAAACGCGGCTACTAGGGAGAGGTTTCCATATCCTTACAAGGAATGCTTCGTTCCCCTCTCCAACCAATGTGAGATCTCACAATCCACCCCCCTTGGGGACCCAGCGTCCCCGCTGGCACACCGTCTGATGACTGGCTCTGATATCATCTGTAACAACACAAGGCCACTGCTAGCAGATATTGTCCTCTTTAGGCTTTCCCTTCTGGGATTCCCCTCAAGGTTTTTAAAACGCGGCTACTAGGGAGAGGTTTCCATATCCTTACAAGGAATGCTTCGTTCCCCTCTCCAACCAATGTGAGATCTCACAATCCACCCCCCTTGGGGACCCAGCGTCCCCGCTGGCACAACGTCTGATGACTGGCTCTGATATCATCTGTAACAACACAAGGCCACTGCTAGCAGATATTGTCCTCTTTAGGCTTTCCCTTCTGGGATTCCCCTCAAGGTTTTTAAAACGCGGCTACTAGGGAGAGGTTTCCATATCCTTACAAGGAATGCTTCGTTCCCCTCTCCAACCAATGTGAGATCTCACAATCCACCCCCCTTGGGGACCCAGCGTCCCCGCTGGCACACCGTCTGATGACTGGCTCTGATATCATCTGTAACAACACAAGGCCACTGCTAGCAGATATTGTCCTCTTTAGGCTTTCCCTTCTGGGATTCCCCTCAAGGTTTTTAAAACGCGGCTACTAGGGAGAGGTTTCCATATCCTTACAAGGAATGCTTCGTTCCCCTCTCCAACCAATGTGAGATCTCACAATCCACCCCCCTTGGGGACCCAGCGTCCCCGCTGGCACACCGTCTGATGACTGGCTCTGATATCATCTGTAACAACACAAGGCCACTGCTAGCAGATATTGTCCTCTTTAGGCTTTCCCTTCTGGGATTCCCCTCAAGGTTTTTAAAACGCGGCTACTAGGGAGAGGTTTCCATATCCTTACAAGGAATGCTTCGTTCCCCTCTCCAACCAATGTGAGATCTCACAATCCACCCCCCTTGGGGACCCAGCGTCCCCGCTGGCACACCGTCTGATGACTGGCTCTGATATCATCTGTAACAACACAAGGCCACTGCTAGCAGATATTGTCCTCTTTAGGCTTTCCCTTCTGGGATTCCCCTCAAGGTTTTTAAAACGCGGCTACTAGGGAGAGGTTTCCATATCCTTACAAGGAATGCTTCGTTCCCCTCTCCAACCAATGTGAGATCTCACAATCCACCCCCCTTGGGGACCCAGCGTCCCCGCTGGCACACCGTCTAATGACTGACTCTGATACCATCTGTAACAACACAAGGCCACTACTAGCAGATATTGTCCTCTTTAGGCTTTCCCTTCTGGGCTTCCCCTCAAGGTTTTTAAAACGCGTCTGCTAGGGAGATGTTTCCACGCCCTTATAAGGAATGTTTCGTTCCCCTCTCCAACCAATATGAGATCTCACATATTTATAGGCTTAAATTTTAAAAAAACTATATAGTTATCAAACCGAGTTTAAGTTATTACGAACTCGAACAAGTGCTGATAGGAAATACTTACTCGGGGTCAAGGTAGCCAGGGGTGCCAACAGCTGAAGATGCCTGAGCTCCATCTCCCAAGTGCTTTGAAAAGCCAAAATCAGCTAATTTGGCATGCAAGTTTCTATCTAGTAATATGTTTGTGGACTTGAGATCTCTGTGAATAATTGGTGGCTTACAGCCAAAATGAAGATACTCTAACCCTGTAGAACATGACATTGCAATTTAATAATCAAATGACAATAAATGAATGGGATTTGAGTTAAGCAAATATCTGTTTTTCCAACCTTGTGCTGCATCAAGAGCAATCCTCAGTCTCTCCTTCCAGCTCAAGACATGGTTGCTTTTCTCTAGTTCATATCAAAAGAACGAAAATCTCGATGAGCTTCTCCATTGAATCGGAACCGAAACTAAGGCAGTCTAGTCGACAATGATTTCGTTTTTAGTTTTCTACACGTTTTCTTCCTTGCAATCCGTTTTGTAACCTTTTCACCGTTCTTTAAACACGTTTGAATTCTAAGCTAAACCGAAAACAGAAACGAGCCCGATTGATAATCATTTGGGTTTTGAAAATGAAGTCTATAATCACAACGTCCAAAAACTAATATCTAAATGGTTATCAAACGGGGTTAAGTTTGAATAGAGTTTTACCTGACAGATGATCTGCTAAGTTTCCATTATCCATGTGTTCATAAACCAGTCCTTGGTGAGTGTCTTCATCACAGTATCCAAGCACGGAAGTTAAGTTTCCATGGTGAACTTTAGTAAGCAACTGTGCCTGTAATGTTGTCAAGCTTGAAATTAGCATAACTTAATTCAAGGTCTTGCCAAATACTTTGACATAGAAAAGGACTGGATGAATTTTGAGACTTTCACCTGCTGTTAGGAGAATTGGTTTAGCTGATATGTTTCGGTCATGTTTGAAAGTGGTTTTGAAATAGTTAAAATCGTTCCAAAACACACCTTTAATCATTCAAAATCAGATTTGATCGTATTGTATAGGAGTAACTCATTACGTTCTGGTAGAGGACAATATCTGCTAGAGGTGGGCTGGGTTGGGCTGTTACAAATGGTATCAGAACCAGACACCGGGTGATGTGCCAACGAGGAGGCTAAGCCTCGAAAGGGGTGGACGCGAGGCGGTGTGCTAGCAAGGACGTTGGGCCCTGAAAGAGGGCGGATTGAGGGGTCCCACATTGATTGGAGAAGGGAACGAGTGCCAGCGAGGATCTAGGCCCCAAAGGGGGGTGAATTGTGAGATCCCACATCGGTTGGAGAGGGGAACGAAAAATTCTTTAAAAGGGTGTGGAAACCTCTCCCTAGCAGGTGCTGGACCCCGGGGGGGGGGGGGGG